TCTTCCTAGAAGAAAAATAAGAGAAAGATATAAGAGTTCAAGCATATCCTGTGGCAAATCTCTTGAACAATAAAAGACTTCATAGTTTCTAAAGATTGGTATAAAGAAGAGTTAAAATGAACCAATTTCTTTGGATAAATAATCTTGAGAATTGGTTGCATAACTCTCCAAGAGTTCATCTCGTCTACCTCGCCACTTCTTTGAGTTTAGCTCAAAATCTTCGACAAAAATTTTCTTTTTCGCCTTTAGCCTCAAAATAGTTCTTTATAGGTATGTACTACAGCTGTCTTTTTAGCATTAGCTTCGATGTGCAGTAGATTCAATCGACTTGCAAAGGCCTCTCTTTTTTTCAAAGTGTAGCCTGTTTATGGGATGTTGCATAGTGCACTTTGTCAATGTTGAAGACTACTCGAAATTGAAAAATTTTGTACGAAGATGACCTTTGTCTTAAAGCTTTGTATAATGCAGTTACAATTTTGCCCCGATGTATCATTGCTCAACTTTGCGCCAGTTTGAAAATTTGTAAAAGAAGCGTGAAGCCTATGAAACTGTTATTGTTGATATATGTTGATTCTTCAGTATTATGATGAAATTGTTCACTGAGATCTTGAGACTATTTGTCAGGTCGCTAACTTCCTAATTGTCAAAACTACTATCCTAAGGTCGCTAACTTCCTAATTGTCAAAACTAGGATCCTAAAACTACTGCACTTGTATCTATATGAATTATAAAGGGATTTGCTTTATATGGGAAATGATCCCTAGACCTCTTACATAGAAAGTATGCCCCTAACCACCTTTCCAAATCACCTAATTGTTACATGATTTTCTGTTTTAATACTTCAACACAATTTATTTTTTATTTTTACTCTCGTGGTGATTTTATCCTTTTTTTTGGTGAGTCATAATCACCCTAGGACAAAAGTTAGGAGGGATGTAGTGAATAAGATGATAGAAGACTTATCCCTTATAATTTTTGAACCAGGTCACGAATTGGATTTAATATACTTAGTCCAATATATAATCCAAGTTAATAATCAGCTTCAAATTATTATTTGGGAAGGAGGTTTACTGCTAGATGATCAAACACTGAGTGTCTTAAGATCACTCTTACCTCTTGAGTGCTTTAAGATCTTCTTAGATAATCTCTGGAGTTGACACAGTGGAGATGACCTTTACGAAATAGTGACCAAAGCTTTTGTCTATGAGCTCAGTATACGAGCTGCTTTGGAAAGGCAGAAAACCTTACTCTATGATGAAAGGATCTGTCTCAACCGAAATAAACATGGAATCGTTGTTTGCAACCACAAAATTCCAACAGTTCTTTATGAAATTGTTAAAAATTCATTTCCTATTCATCGGATGCAATTGTAAATGTTTTCATGTACATGTTTATGTATGTATTGTTACTTATATATATACTAAATGAAAAATTGTGCCTGTTTTCGGGGTTTTACTATGGCCATTTGAATGATGATTGTGTCTCATTATTCTCGTATATTTTTTTGGGTAAAGTATTTATTTATTTTACAATGTGATAAGTTTGTCTATAATTATTTGGTTTAAACATTGACGATGATTTGGAAACTTAGTGAAATTTTGACTTGATGTTGAACAAAATAATTATGATAAAATTTATCTGAAATTGTAAAATAATAAAGGGTGGTGTGTTGATAACTCTCCAAAAGAGAGTTATTCTGGTGATTATTTGGGTGAAAATGTGCATTAAAATATCAAAGTGTGTCGGATTTAGGTCATAATTAGCATGAATAGTATTCAAATACAAATTCTTAGCTAAATATCCTTAGTCTTGTGAACTTTGGCCAAAAACAGCATAAACTCTCGTATTTGTGGTTCTTTTGCATAGGGTTTTAAAGAAGAGTTAAGAAGAGAAGGAAGTGTTGAATCAGAGAAGAAAAGTCAAAGCATTTTCAAGTGAGATCATCTAAAAGCTGGAGCATAGCGATGGCGGAACATGAGTGTCCGTACAGTTAATTCAAAAACACGGGCTTCACTTTGTCTGTACAATCTCCAGCTGGGTGTCCTAAAAACGGGACCCGATATTTAAAGGGAATGTTGCCCTAGCCGACAGGCACGCAGATCCCAAGGGAGACAAAATTGATAGCTGAAAAGACAAATGGAACATAATATACCCATTTTCGAGAGGAGAGTTGACGCCAAAAAGGGGAAGCTCGCCTGCTGGAACGAGCTGTCTGCTTCTTCTTCTCTGTCATTTAGCCATTTTTCTGCTATGGGTTGTATTCCTTCTTCCATTCTGTTTTCTTCACCCATTATGAGCTAAACCCCATTTTGGGGGAGGTTCACATGCTGTAACTGACTTGAGACCGAACCTCTAGCTGCTACATTTATTCTTAAGCAAATCTAAATTTATTTCTTAAATCTTCACGTTACTGTTGGCCGCTGTTTCGTGTATGCTAGCTTCTGTATTAACCCGGAAGGGCTTGTGGGTGCTAATTTGTTTTGCTTGTGATTAGCGCTTTTCTATAGCTATAAGGATACTCAGGAATGAGGTCCTCTAATCATGCTTATAGCTTGGGTTTATTGCTTGGGTATTTAGCAACGGGAGTTGTAATTACTCATGTTTGGGGTGTCTTAGAAGGGAACCGAGTCGAGTTGGGCACTAATAGATGTTAGCTACGCTAGAGGATAGGTTGATAAATTGTGACAGTATATTGAATCTCTCCCGCTTTTTCCATATCCGTTATTCCCCGTTATTGCTTTCTGTGCTACTGCTTTCCTGTGTTGACAGCTTCAATGCTATCATCTCTTGCAAGTTTCTGTCGTCTTGTTATTACTTTGTTTTATTTTCTCCTAGATAATATACACACTCAACTATGTACATTTTTATTTGTTGGTATCTACTTTTATCGTTAAAATATAAACCAAAAATCCATGTGGATACGACCTCGTTACGTACTACAATCGACGATTTGTGTATACTTGCATGTGTTGTCAACACAGTTGTGTGGACGCAACAAGTTTTTGGTGCTGTTGCCAGGGATTTTTTTGCGATTTTATTTTAACATTGATATTTGTAGATACAGTGCTGAAGTGATCTTTCTCATTTTCACATTTGTATTTTGCTGTGTGTTTTTGCGAGGTGCATGAACGATTACGAAGGATTATAATATATTATTGATCACGAAATAAAGCGCACCTTCCACATAAATATACGAGTGCAGAGGCGAGAACAGGCAGCAGCCAACATGGACAGAATAAATCCGCCAGTTCAACCTAATGCGCCTATAAGACCAAATGTGAGAATAGAGGAAATAGTAGATAGGGTTCCTGTCGCTACTCACCCTGATGTAGCAGTGCCCCCTTTCAACGTTGTACTCTTAGCAGACGACATCGACAAGGAAATCAGAGGATATGCAGCTTCGACATTCTACAACTTCAACCCAGTTATCATAGAGCCAGAAATTGAAGCTTTCAAATTTGAGCTGAAACCAGTGACGTTTCAGATGCTCCAGACAGTGGGTAAATTTCATGGACATGCTACGGAGGACCCGCATCAGCATCCGAAATTCTTTATGGGAGTTTGCAATTCATTCAAGGATGAAGGATTGAGCAAGGAAGTGCTGAGGCTTAAGTTATTTTCGTATTCACTTAGAGATGAAGCCAGAACATGGTTGGAGACCCTTCCTTCAGAGTCTATCACAAATTGGGATGACTTGACTTAGAAGTTTTTGATGAAATACTTCCCACCCAGCAAAAACGCTAAGTATCGCAGTGAGATCAACAACTTTCAGCAATTTGCTGGGGAATCTGCCAGTGAATCCTTGGAGCGTTTCAAGCGATTATTGCAGAGGTGCCTTCACCATGGGATCCCAAGATGCATCCAGATAGAGACATATTACAAAGGTCTGGATGATGCCACACGCTTAGTAATTGATGCATCCGCAAATGAGCCTTTGCTAGGAAAACCCTATGCTGAAGCATTCAATATTTTGGAAAGAATATCATCAAACAATCACTCATGGTCTAATCCTAGAGCTGTTCAAGGAAAATCGAGTAAGGGGCTAGTTTAGTCTAAATCATATACTGCATTGAATTTAAAGATTGAGAATCTGACGGACTTGGTATTGAAGAGTATGACACAACAAAGTTTAGTTGGAGCATTAGCTAGTACGGCTAATGTCAATCAAATTCAAGGGATTTCTTGTTCTTTCTGCGAGGGAGACCACCATTATAACAACTGCCCCGGAAATCCTGAGTCAGTTTATTATTTGGGGAACCCGCAGAATAATATAAACAATTCGTATTTGAACACGTACAATCCTGGCTGGAGGAATCACCCCAATTTTAGTTGGAGTGGCAATCAAGGAGGACACAATGCGGGAACATCCAATGCTCCAGCATTTCAGCAGAAGGTAAGTTATCCTCCTGGTTTTGCGAATCAAGGACAGATGGTAGCACAGAGGCAATAAGAATGATCATTTGCATCATTGGAAAAGTTGATGAAGCAATACATGGCAAATAATGATGCCACTGTTCAAAGCCAAGCTACATCATTAAGGAACCTAGAATTGTTAGTAGGCCAGTTAGCTACGGATTTGAAGAGCAGACCGGTTGGAACATTGCCTAGCGATACAGAAGTGCCAAAAAGAGACGATAAGGAACAATGCAAGGCCCTCACTTTGCGAAGTGGGAAAGCATTACCTCCAGCGCACCCGAATGCTCCAGCATCGATCAAGGAACCTACTCAAGTTGACCAGGGAGAAACTCAATCAGAACAGGGCAGTGAGTCAGCAAAAGTAGTTGTGCCTCAGACAGACAACCAATTAATCCACTAATTGCTAGAACACCTGAGACAGGGTCTACACAGAATAAAGTGCCCGAGAAAAAAAATCAGGCAGAACATGAAAATGTCCCAGCAGAATATAGGCCAGCGCCACATATCCCAAACTGTTGCAGAAAAAGGAGTAAAACATTCAATCCAAGAAGTTTTTTGATGTCTTTAAGCAACTGCACGTGAACATGGAGGCTCTAGAGCAAATGCCAAATTATGTGAGGTTCCTGAAAGAAATACTCACAAAGAAGAGAACGCTGGGAGATTATGAGACTGTAGCAATGACGAAAGCTTGCAGCACTACACTCACGAGCAAAATTCCTACAAAGATGAAAGATCCTCAGAGTTTTACCATACCAGTTTCAATTGGAGGACAACAGATAGGACTTGCCTCATGTGATCTAGGCGCCAGCATCAATCTCATGTCGTTATCAATTTACAAGTTGGGCATTGGAAAAGCAAGGCCCACAACAGTGACATTGCAGCTGGCGGATCGATCCATTACGCATCCAGAGGGAAAAATTGAAGACGTTTTGGTACAAGTAGATAAATTTATTTTCCCTGTTGACTTCATTATTTTGGATTATGATGCAGATAAGGAGGTTCCGATTATGATGCAACTGGGAGAGCTTTGGTAGATGTCCACAAATGAGAGCTCACAATGCGTGTGCAGGATCAAGAAGTGAAATTCTCGGTGCATGACTCCATGAAATTTCCTGCTGAATCAGAAGAGTGCTCAGTATTAAAGATATTGGATGAAGCATTAATGGAGGAGCTGGAAACAGAAGCCATGCTGGAGCATTTAGAAGCAGTTGACGCTGAAAGTATTGCCGATGCATTTGAAGAGGAACTAGAAGATGTCCAATCAGAATTCATGAACACCAATAAAGGATTTGTTGGATTTATTAGAGACATTGCCAATCATCATAGCAGCGGACTTACCCTTGGAAAAGGAGCAGATGTTGTTGAATGTACTCAAGGCACATCAGAGAGCAATTAGATGGACTATTGCGGATATCAAGGGGATAAGCCCCAGCTTTTGTATGCATAAGATAGTGCTAGAGGAGGATTTCAAAAACTCTATAGAACCTCAGGTAGACTTAATCCGGCTATGAAGGAGGTGGTTGACTTTTTACTGCAGAAACATGTGTCGGTAGCCCTGTTTGACCACGTTTTTGACCCATTTCCCATTATTATTTGACAAAAAGAACCACATATTCTTAAAGTAGAACATACATAGATTATTTATGCATAAAAGTCAAACTATGGTACTTTAGGAAAAATATGAGATAAATGCGGTCAAAGTTGGAAGAAAATAACAGAATTCTGTCTTTTGCAGAATTGCGCCTGGCGCATTTTTGGAGGGCAATTTGTCAAAATGCACGTTTTGATTAATGAAGGACAAGGAGGACATTTCCCACATGTTTAAAACCGTGAGTCCAAGTCCAAGTGAGGTGGTTAGGTGAATCTCAACCCTTTTCCACCTAAAATAGAGGGGAGTTTCAACCAACCTATGGTGCTATTAAATAAGGCCATCCATCCCTCAGCAAATCATCCTTTCCAAGGTTCATTTCATCTTCTTTTAGATGCTCTCTAGTTGTAGAACACGTTTTTAGGGATTATGTTCATGTTCTAGTTGTTCATTTCTTCGTTTTTCACACTTTTACCTTTCGTAGTGCTTTTAATTCGAGTTCTTACTTCCGTTCTTTGTTCATTCTGTTCTTTTAAAGTTCTTTAGTGAGTTTCAACTCCCCTCACGCTCGAGAGAGAAGAGGGTTAAGCTTGAACTCCCTGTACGGCTTATTTATTCATTTAAATTCAATGAAAAATACTTTCTTTATGTTTTCGTGCATTTACTTTCATTTAATTATGTTCTAAATTAGTTATCAACCTCCTTGTGGAATGCCTTAGTCAAATGATTTGATTTTCAACACGCTCGGGATTTTGGCCAGATTGCGCCTGGCACTTTTTTGGGTTGGTTTCTAAAAACTTCTCTTTACGTCTTTTTTCCATTTGGCCAGTGGGAACTTGATTTATACACTAAAGTCCAACCTTGGGAAAGGTGAGTTAGGTAAAATAATAGGAAACCAAGATGGGATGTGACTTAGGAATAAGCGCATAAAATATGGTCCTAGGAATAGGCCCTCTGACCCATAATGCAAATGAGTTGGTAGATATTCTCTAGGATTGTAATCACACATAGGAATATGATTGTAGGTTACCCTAGCCTCTGCAGCAACCAAAAGCGGTAGTGAAAGAGTATAACTCAAATCCCAAGAAAAGTCAGGAATTGCGCCTGGTGCATTTTCCCAACATAGTGTGTTTTCCATGTTTTGCATCAAAACTAAGGTAGGAGACAAGGAGGTTGAGTTTCATTAAATTGCTTGATAGTTAAAACCCAAAACAACAACATTTCACCATTATTTTCTTCCTAAATCACAATTGCATATTTGAACTATTTCACTGCATTACTTGATTTTGAAAAGCAACAAGTCCCTGAGGATTCGACCTTGGATTACTTCCGAGTATTACTTGTGACCGTATGCGCTTGCACGAGTCTCTAATCTTTTTAAAGGTAGAGAAAATCCCAACAGTGGTAAAGAAAGAAATTATCAAGTGGTTGGATGCAGGGATCATATATCTGATTTCAGATAGCGAGTAGGTAAGTCAAGTGCAGTGTGTGCTTAACAAAGGAGGCATGATGGCCATCTTTCCTGACCTGGTGGAATCAGTAGTTGAGGTGTTTATGGATGACTTTTCAATCTTTGGAAAGTCATTTGCAGAATGTTTGGATAATTTGAAGAGGGTGCTGCAAAGATGTGAAGAAACAAACTTAGTCCTGAATTGGGAGAAGTGCCACTTTATGGTGCAAGAATGAATTGTGATAGGGCACATAGTCTCCAGAAACGGCATAGAAGTAGACAAGGCAAAGATAGAAGCAATAGAGAAATTGCCCCCACTTGTGAATGTCAAGGGCATTCACAGTTTCTTGGGGCATGCCGGTTTTTATCGCAGATTCATAAAGGACTTTTCGAAAATCTCTAAACCTCTTTGTTCTTTGCTTGAGATTGATAAAGAATTTAACTTCACATCTGTCTATTTGCAGGCGTTCGATACACTGAACTATGCTCTCACATTTTTAACGACGCGTGTAATTTAGTGTAACATTGCAATGAATGTCAAAGAGTTGGAAATATTTCCAAAAGGTCATAGATGCCTTTCACATACATCTTAGAGGTGGAGCTTTTTGATGTATGGGGCATGGACTTCATGGGACCATTTCCTCCATCCAATGGAAACCTCTTCATTTTATTGGCAGTCGATTATGTATCAAAATGGGTCGAGGTAGTCACATACGCCAACAGTGATGCCAAAGTGGTAGCAAAGTTTCTCCACAAGCAAATATTCACGAGATTTGGTACATCCGGAGCGGTGATTATTGACGAAGGCTCCCACTTCATCAAAAAAGCTGTAGCATCTCTCCTTACTAAGTATAACATCAGACACAAAGTATCCACAGATTATCACCTCTAGTCAAATGGGCAAGCTGAGATAACTAATAGAGAAATTAATAGCATATTGGAAAAAGTGGTTAACACAAATCAAAGAGATTGGGCGATGAAGTTGGATGACGCCTTATGGGCTTATCGCACAACATTCAAGACACCTCTGGGCACATCTCCTTACAAATTAGTTTTTGGGAAACCTTGCCATCTCTCATTGGAGCTGGAGCATAAGGCCTTTTGGGCTGTGAAAAAGTTAAACTTGGATTATGCTGCTGCTGGAGATGTTCGCCGCTTACAATTGCTAGAACTTGAAGAATTCCGCAGAGACGCATATGAGAATGCGAAATTATACAAAGAAAAGATGAAGCGCTGGCACGATGCGAAAATCAATCCTAGAAGGTTTGAAAAAGGGCAACAAGTGTTGCTTTTCAATTCAAGACTCAAACTTTTCCCAGGGAAGCTCAAATCGAGATGGTCAGGCCCATTTTTGGTCTCACATGTATTTCCCCATGGAGCAGTTAAAGTACAAGAGATGGACTCGGGAAGAGAATTCACAGTGAACGGGCAAAGACTGAAGCATTTTTATGGAGGCAGCGTGGTGAAAGATGCTGGAGCTCACCACTTCGCCACGGACTGAGAAACCAACAACGGAATAAAGGGAGCAAGATTTAATGATTAATTGTTTTATTGCTCCCCAGTTTTGAATGTAGAAATTTAGATTTTTCATTTTTTTTATCTGCCATTTTGAACATTAATCAGCTTTCATTTTAGTTTTTAGGGGGGAAGTAATTAAAAGTCAGGTTGGGTGGACAACTTTCAAAATGGGCATGCAGTGATGACGTAGTGATGTCGCTAGCGCGAAAGGACAAGGCAGGTGGAAGCGCTAGGGCGTGGCAGACATGCAGAAAGGTATTTATGGCAAATTTCAGCTTCCAATGAGAGAGGTAAGTAACACTTTAAAGTTTTGGGAAGAACTCATAATTGGTAGAGATTTTGAGGGATTTTACTTTTTATTTTAGGGGGAAATTTTATTTCCATTAATTGGAAGAAAATCGAGGGAGATATTTTCTTTAATGGGCCACAACAACTTTCTGTTTTCCTTTAAGACCCACGTCTCCCTCATTCTTCTCTCCCCGCTTTGCACCATAACCGTACCACTCCCCCTTTCTTCTTTTAAGTTCCTAAAACCCTCTTCTTCCCAAAACCCTAATCCAAAATGCATAGAATCAAGCACAAAGCAAATAAGAAGAGAGTGCTGAAGCTAGAACTCTCGGCAAGTTCTGGGTCGAGCGGCGATTTCAA